ATTAGTAATTAGTATTAATCCATCAACATTTTAATTTGTAAAAATGGTCCAAGTATAATGGACTCTAAATCAAATATCTATTTTATATTCTTGTAAAACTATTTTTAAGGACTTTTATTCTGAGGATAAATATTTTAGTAACCGAAAAACTACTCAACAATTGTCCACTAAATAAGTCACTGTAAAAAGGGAGGGGGATTTCTTATTTGAAAAACAGAAGTTTCTATCGTTATGGAACGCACATTCCTTAAATATTAAAAAATCTTAAGAATTCGAAAATATGTTATTTAAAGGTATTTAAAATTTCAGAAAATCAGAGTTTTAATGAATTCATTATTAAATGAAAAACACGGGGCCAAGCGACGAGCATGTTCGGTAAATCACCTTTTATATTTTTGAAAATTATAACAACTACCTATTTGCTATTTAAGGACAATAAATTTCTCCTCACTTCGGATTTTGTATGACAACTCGAAAAGTATATTTTTAGTGCATATAGATATAGTGCCTTCTCCTTTTTTGTGGTTAGGACATCTTAGGGAGATGTGGCGGTATGTTACAAACGAGACGCACACTGTTTACGGTTCAAGGGTCAGTCAACAAATTATGAATAATAATCTAATCCTGTATTATTTTGTTACGTATTTACTAGCACGTTTGATAGAACGTGATTTTCCTATTAATTTTTAACCAAAAGCCTTCGCCGCTTCTAATCGCAACTATACATATAATATTATCATATTATGATATTATGCGATAATATACGCACATTGCACACTCGCGAATATCCACATAATAATTATTTGCCCCACAATATCATGTTCTGGCAACGCATCCGACTGAGGTGTAAAGTGCGCAGATGGACCGGAATATATATTATACCTACCTACCTATGTAGTCGGTGGTTATAAGTCTTTTAAGGAAATACAAAATAAGTGACAGACATCAGGGCTAACCAATACATGTACGTGTAAATCTAAATGCTAATCAAATAAAGGTATTTACATTACGTAAAAGCAGCTTAGGTTAGTATATGACACCCGATACCCGATGATACAGTTGTTATATTTACTATCAAATAATCAAACCGACAAATTATTTATTTCATCATTCTTTTTTTTTACTATAATTTTATAGTTACATTAAGAAACATTTAAACATTATAATTGAAATAAAGGAATACTAACCTTGTTGATGTGTATTTTACAAATACCTATTATACAAAAGTTATTCGCATTACCAGTAAAAATGTATTCTTTTTCCACTTCCGACTTAATGCCGGTGAAATCTTAGCCGGTATAACGAATACCCTGTATAGCAACTGGATGAGGTACCCCAGGAAATGGAGTAATCACTGTGCCATGTATAATAATAATATATTATGCTAAATATAATAAATACATTTAATACAATATATGTATTTTAAATTAGGTACCATGCCAGTTCGTTTTTCACGATGATAATATAATACTTTAATACAGCTATTATATTATTATACATGACGCGCTATATACTTGCGCCTTCAACAGGTGTGTAGGCGTGTGTGTGTGCGTGTCGGAGCGAGCTCGAGTGCAACAAGTTTACCATATTTGTGTGCAACTGTTATACATGGTATTTATAACAATATTCCACGCGTAATGTTTTTTCTCTCTCTTTTCTTTTGTCATAGCACGATAGTAAATAATAAATAAATGACAAACGACGACTTTCGTAACGATTTTAGCGCGATGAGTGATGTGGTCTCGTCATTTGTACATATATAGATACACCGTCATATATATTATTTTATTATAATAGGGAAAATTATCATTATTATCCCCATAACTTTTGTCTGGCATAAGCATTATAAAACACCCTTCATAATAGTGCCAGTCAGTAGTGCGTGTTTCGCAATTATAATACATGTTGTACACGACCCGAAGTTTCCGTTTTCTTATAAAAGTTCTTCAATCAATTATTATGCATTTATACTTATAAAACATGAAAAATATATATCATTGTTACCTACGAGTTGTATATTATGAAAATATGTGATTACCAATAATTTCTAAAACAGATATCAACACATCGTTTTCCACCGTACACTATAATAATAATAATAAATTATTCATACTATCGCATAATAAACTAGACATATAATCTGACTTAACTCAGGAAAAAATGAAAAAATATAAAATATGGTACTTTATCCATGTATTTCGATTTAGTGTTTCCCACTTTCCCAGTTCACTGGAAAATACCTATAGGCATCGGTTTGTCAACTAATTCGACTGAGTTGAGCCATCCACCTGGGTCAGGTTGAATTATTACTCTTTATATTTTTAAACGATATTTAATCTTAACTTTAAACTTTTCTGATATCTCTAAGATTTTTCGTAAAAATCTGTCTTGAGTAGTTTTTGAGTATATAAGCTACAAAAATACATTTATAGTAGCTAATGGCTTCCTTATATGTATAAACAAAAAAAATCGATTTTTGTGAAAAAAAAAATTCGTGTGTGAGTCATCCTATACCTAGCAAAGTTATAAACACTTCCCGAACGTCAAAAAATATGTATTCAAACTTTGATGCTAATTTGTTAGGTTAGGTACTACCTCATCACACATTTCTCGCTTCCTAAGCATCATAGGTGACTCATATAAATTAATGTACCTAATTCTAAAACAATTAAACATATAGCAAAGTGTTTATAGTGTTTATCTCAATGAATAATATATTCTCGGAATTCCTAATCAATTCAAAGTTGTTCAACAAAATCTAATCACTATAATATCTTTACTATTTAATAGTTTTATATTTTTATCAATTGTGTATGTATTGTTGTGCATAACGCATGTAAATAACCTTTTGTAATTACTTAAAATTAATGTTCATCTAATTACTATTGATGTCTAGGACTTAAAAAAAAAGAAAAATACAACGTGTTCTCTGTTTTTTAATTTTTATTATTACTACAGGATCACATATATTATTAAAATCTAAAGTACCTAAATTTTGATACTAACATAAATATGTTTTTGGGCTTGATACACGTTTTTTTGTTTCTCTTACCGATTTTGAGAAATATTTTTGTTGTCATGGTAACTTATTAATTCAAAAATATTTATGTTTCATAGATTTTCCTTGTACATTTAAAATGTCGAGAATCATGCTACTTTTTATATATGTAGTAAGCCGAAGACGATCCCTTTTGCACACATTAATAAGAGTAGGTATACCATTGCTTTGAATTCCAACTCGATTTTGAGTGTTATTTTTTGGGTCGTCGCTATTTTAAGACGGCGGACCTGTATGCACAATATAATACTATAATATAAACGAATGACAAGCCGTTTCGTGTATTATCGGGACGTTTTTGAGTGACGCACGTTTCACTCACGGTGAAGTGTCACCAGCTACGCCGTAATAATAATATTTCCTATAATAACCGTGGAAAAACGACAAACATCTTTGACGAATTCTCTCGATTCGGGAAGGTGGTTTGGGTTTTTTAGTTTTTTGGACCATCCACGTAAATTCAGCTTAATAGTCGAAACGAGTTGATTATACTTCACAATCACAATCGATAGTTGATGTTTAAATAAGTAATAATAAATATTATATAATATACAAACCACAATTTGTGGGGAGGCGGCTGCGATTTATTCTGTCAAAAATAGGAAACGTCAGCACGTGGGTATAGTGTTGCATAATTAATAATACATTTAACAATCTATCATTTTAAACATCTTTTCTAATACATTAAGCAACTAATATAGATCTAATTCAAAAAATATAATTCTACAATACTTAAGGGGTGAAGAGCCGCATGCTATAAAAACGCATCTGTTTCACTGAAGTCAAGAACTCAAGATGTCGAGTACTTTGGTCTCAATAGCCCATAATTTATTTTAGTAGACACTTTTTGGGTAGATGGGCGATCAATTAGATTATTATGACGTTCTTCGAGTTGCCAAAATTCATTGCTGTCAAAACTCGAGCGATATGGCGTATTTTGATAAGTTTCTTATCTACAGTGGGTGATGTTTATGCCGCCTAATATTGACGGGTGTCCAAGTCGTTTCTTTTATTTATCACTAACTCTATAATCACTACAATATTAATAGCTGCCGTCCAAATACTTAATTTATAATAATACTGAAAGTGTACTATGGCGATTGGTGCAAAAGCATAAAATATGCCATGCAACAACGCGTTCATAAGACTTAATCCAACCATTATGTGCATACACTATATGTAGGTATGCAATAAGTGTTTAAAAGAAAATTCGACCAAACCATTCGTATTGTTTTCAGAAACACAATTTGTTATGTGCTGTAAGTCTCAGGAGTATCGTAGAAAAAGATGCTTATTTTTACACACGTCACTAATTTTCTCGCTAATATAGAAATGTATACCAATCGCCTTTCGATAAAACTTAAATTTTTGTAAACACACTCGACAATTTAATTTAATTAAAATGTTATCTGTCTTCATTGTTATCGTATGTTGTACAGCGGTAGTGTGTTCAGGTATCCACGTAGGTGTACACTTGTAGGTACGTGTGAAACGACTTATATCAATAATTTATATAGACCGTTATAGCAATTGAAATACGAAAATATTTTTAAAAAAAATGTAATGTAAAGTTGTATGTCCCCATCAATGATAGAGACTACACACAATTTTTAATTATATTTCATTTTATACGGTTGTGGTTAAAACGGTTCGGAAATCCTTTTGAACCGTATAATACAGTCTGCCAGTCGAGTGATAATATATTCGACGATTAGTTAATAATAATTTACTATACAGTATAAAATATGTACCACCATGTACCACACACTACATGATACGTCTATTAGAACTTGTATTTTTGTATCATTGTCAGTCCCATAAACCCCCGTTAAGACTGTTCGATTAAGTATTTACGCTTGTAAAGTAGGTATAATATAAACCATATTATATAGATCAAACCTATACACTCATTTCGAATTCTTCTTGTTTACTTGTTGTACAGACCCCGCCAAATGATGTATGATACTGACTCGGAGTGCGGTAACGCCGCACCGCTGACGCTGCACTATGGTAACCACCACGTGTACTTGATGGCGGAAATCCAACAAGCCGGAGACGAGCACTCGGACATGGAGCTGATGTGTGAGCAGGGCGCCACCATCCGTGCCCACTCGCTGGTTCTGGCTTCCGTCAGCCCGCTTGTCCGGCGGCTGCTCAAGGAGGACAACGTGTGCATGTACCACAACCTAGTGCTCCAGTTCCCGGAGATCAAGGAGTCGCATATGAAGACGGTGCTGGACTTTATTTATACCGGACAGGCTAGCGTGTTGGTGAGTGTTATAATAAAATAAGATACTCTCTATTATAAATAATAATTATTAAGGACATTTACGGGGCGGTTCAGTCAGGTGGGTGACTGCAGTATATTATAATAGGTTAAGCGCGACTTGCTCCGTCCGGGCAATGAATTTAATGCTTTTTCTTGTTTTGTTCTCTTTTATTTTTGTAAATTTTTTTATAACGGATTAATTTTGGAGAGCAATCGTCTTACGTTACTGGCTGCTATATTATACAATATATTTAAAAAAATTCTATTTTGCATACCTTAGTAAACAAGGAACTTTGAATCTTACTTGAACATCTTACTGACAACAATTATGTTATTGAGTTATAACGTATAAGAGTTATATTTCTATTATTTCTTCAAAATTGTTGTACTCTTAGATATTAAAATTGCCTATTATTTATTTATTTATAATAATAGTTTTACAATTTTCTATATTCCTGTTTGGATTTTATAATTCAAATAAAAACCGGTGGGCAAGTGAGTACCACTTTACTGTACATTAGGTGTCGTGTGGGTTACTGTAATAGATGTGTTAAATTTGAATTTAGAGAACATTGTATACGTTAAACGATTCTGAACGAAGACCGTCTGTCGCCTATATTACTAATTAAATTTTATAATAGTATTGCGATTAGAGTAATTAATTTTACTAATTCAGTTGTTGAGTTAATTTTTACTGAAAATATAGCATTTGAAAATGCACAGAGTGTATAAATATATCAATTTAGTTTTAATGTTTCAAGTACCAACGAAAATATTTTTAAATTACAAATTTTAACAACTTAACTTTAATCGTTATTCTTAGTTTAAATATCTAGTTTTGTCCTGATTTGAACTTCTCTAAAAAAAAATGTGTTTATGAATTATTTATATTTAAAAAAAAACTAGGTATGAGAAACCTATTGTTGTAAAATTTCAATCCTTGGCTTTAAAAATTGAAAATAATATTATACATTTTTAACAACAAAATGATCAATACATTTTTGTGATTTTGACGAATTTTGTCTAAATTTAAACTTTAAACCCTTATAAACAAAATGTATATGCAGTATTTCTGAAGGACTTTGTATACCATTTTCAATGAAATTTATAGAACAAAAACTAAAAATAGTTGAAAATCTCAAATGTCTATAAAATGTATATAATATATAATATGTCTAATAAATAGCCCAAAAAGATACAAATTCTCTAGAAAATGTTATCATGTTTACGAAAAAATAAAATAAATGTTTGGGTATCTACGGTTATTTGTTATGTAATAACACTAATATCAATTTTGTCGAAAACTGGTTTGACATAAAAATTACATTGTTTCCTTAATTTTATTTTTATTTTGCCTGAAGCTTCGAAAAATTACTAGTAATTTTAATTTTGATCTTTCAATAGTACTAACTAGAATACTAGATCAAATTTTATATCTGAAACCACCCTCAAAGTTGAAATTTGTTGCATTTTTTCAGCTAGTATATTTATACATAAAACATTTTTTTAGAACTCTCATCATTGTGAAATCAATACTTTCATCGCTCTGCTCAGAGTCTAAAACTATGAAAAAACATAATATACATATATGCATAATATCAAATGTATATATATAATTGCACGAGTACCTATATAAATCACATATTCATACAATTCAGGTTTGAACTGACCTGACTTAGCATGTATTTTTGTGCGTGTATTCATGTGTGTGTGCTTTTGTGTGTGGTGCCTTTGCAGGAAAATGAATTCGACGAGGTGGTCAGCCTGTTGAACTTGTTGGAGATCCGGTCGGACACGTGGCAACGGGGCATGTATGAATCAGCGTCTTCATCATCACCTCCACCGCCCGAACAACCACCGTCAGCTGCGTCATCCGACCTGTCTGCAAGGACGGATCCGGAGAATCTGTCGCCAGCATCTCGTTGTGAGGTGCACCCCAAAAAGCGGCGAAGACGGTCGTCCGTGCCCGTAAACCTATCCATCGACACGAAGAACGACGAGGACACGTCCATCACCCAATCTAATTGGCGTGTATCCAAGGTAAGTCCAATGTGTGCTTACATATTTATTACAAATGTTATCGAATAGCGCAATATTCATCGATCAGTTATTATAATGACATGATGATCACTCGACCACTCACTTGTATTATATTGTTTGTCATATGTGTAGTTTGAGGAGAGCCATCGGAAGTTGAGACGGCGGAGCAGTTCACCGTTCGATGACTACGCTCACCACCACGAACGTAACGACTACCACCATAACGGTTTCCAACCGTTCCCGAAACGTGAACCACACTGGGTTGAAACCGAATACCGGAGTTCGCAACTTCAATACAGCTGCGAGGTGAACTTACCATACATGGACCCAGCGGAACCAAACTTAGATCCCGAAATCGAAGAGACGAACGACTCGGACAGTAAAGACACGAGACTGAACCCCGCCGACTACGTGGTAAGCATAATAATATTATATTATATTAGAATATACTTTATGAGGCGAGGGTTCTATTAATTCTCACATACCAAATGTTCCTACATGCTGTTTTGTGGATAAGTCACGTCCCAAAAAGGGTTTAGATTAGTCACGTCGAGCTCGGGCATACGTCTTTGAAGTGACCTTTTTATAGTTACACTCTTGTCCTCGTATCTTGTTTTATTTTTACAAGTTATTGATTGAACGAGGAGCAATGAATACACGAAAGTGGATTACATTTTATTAGATCTATACCTACTATTATATCCGACACTGTTTAAGATATCTAATAAATGATTATTACCGCCAGTAGTTTTCGATTTTCAACCAACTAAATTTGTATACAGGTCTGATTTTTTCCATAAAGTTCCCGGTTAGCCTAACTTAACCTAAGCCATAATTTTTCAGTTCATACAATTGTGTAGTAAACGATGTTTGATATTAACGGACATTGGCGTAAAAATATGTATTGTATATTTGTATTTTGTATGACGTATAACAGTGGCTTTAAAAGCTTACGAAACATGCACGTCATATATATATATATATATATGTATAATGTTGATTAATATTAAAATATTTTTATGAAATTTTTTTGGTTGAAAAAAAGGACGTTGTATAGTAACGAATCAAACGAAAACGTTTTGGACTTAAATTAAAACGTGCAAATATTATCTCGTAATATATTATTAGCTTTTTGTGGCCTATCTAATTTCTAGTAATTATAGTTATTAGTTTCAAGTGTAGTTTGAATCTTAATCAAATGTATTGTGTAAAACAAGATTATTAAACACGATAACAGTATTAATTGTAAAATGAGAGTAATAGACTCGTTTTTAAAGAATAATTTTTATCCGTCTCAACTAAAATAATTATATATTATCTTAGTTTTATTTCTTTCACGATTCGATTATTATATGCACACGAGTTATGCGTATTTATAGCAAATTACATGGCAAAATAAATATGAACAAATCAATTGTGACTCATCTAAATTATACTCGTGATTCCATTGGAATATCATGAACTACCAATAAATTAAATCAATGAAATAAGATGAAAACAACCCGAAAACATGTTAAGCTAGACTATAATATTGTATATCGTACAAAAATGTTAATTGAAATTTGAAATAAATTTTATAAATTATTGTTTTTAATCATACTGAATACACTTTTTACCCTTAATTTTGTAAGCAAGATGTTCTTTTAAAATCAGTAGATCGTCTTTTAGAACATTTTAGTATTGTAATGTACTAAAATATGCATTCAAAAATTGAATACATTCCTATGATAATCAATAATATTTAAAGAATAAAAACAAATGAAATAATATAAATACAACATAAATATTTTGTAGTGCATCAAAGATCTTTTTGGGAAGTGGTGTCATCCATACAATTAGGATACACCGACATTTTATTACTACAACACTACAAAATAGTAAGATGAAATTATGCGTGTATCGTAAATTCGTAATAGTGCTAATATCTGAAATGTTCTGTATACATAACAGAGTCCAGCAAAAACAAACAATAACGCGATACGGAAAACGATTATAATAATAATATATATAATACAATAGGGTGCGGGTTTCTTGTTTCCATACATATATAGCGTCCTCCTCGTATACTCCACTGCCCACTCACGTCTGTTGCAGATATAGCCACTAATATCGTTGTTTCCATGACATTTGGGTTAGATTATTAATGTTTCAAAGGGTATAATAATAATATTGTTATGTTGTTAAGAAAAGTAATCGAAATTAAAAAAAAAATTATAACAACTTATCGAATATTAGTTACATAATAATACATTAGTATAAGTGCCTATTACAACATTATTTGTTTTATTGAAAATAAATATGGTATTCGTGAAATGTGAAGGAAAACTGGTTGGACACGTTAAGAGATTAAGTAAAAAATAGCCAATAGGTAATAAAATAAAAATATAAAAATAAATGTATAATATATTCATAAATATATAAACAAATCAAGACATTTTTTAATTAAAAAAAATGTAAACATACTTTACACTAATAACTATTGTTATTGAAGCGTATGATCAATAAAAAAAAAAGAAAGAAATATGGGTTTTTCCTAAAATTAACCGAACATGCAAAAAATATACTTTTACATGTTTGTATCTGAACTCGTCATAAGTTAATGAATTCTTAATTTGGAGGTCTGCCATAAATCGAGAGTATATAAAAAAATTATATACAATTATATGGCGCAGCAGCATAAGTTGCAGAGTGAAATCGGTTCGTTTCAGTTGGCCGTCATTCCGGGATATAAAAATCCTAACTTGCGTTTAGTATACGAGCATATCCATTATTCTTTTATGAAGTACGTGTATCAAAACTTCAATAAAAGGTGTCTTATCTGTGGTCCGGGATGGGTCTATGCAGGAGAAGGAACCCCTCCCTACAACTCTACTTCAAGTTAGACCCTCGGGTTCTAGACCCAGAGACACAGTATAGTATCTGCAGTTAGAGACTTGAGTACTGCACATTTTTATAAATTAACTTAAACATATACGTCTTTACCTTCTACGCGTTTATTGAAATGCCTTAAGCTTTTTTCTACCCGAAACCAACCTATCACGAGAGCAAACCTTTTTTTTTCTTGTCAGAGATATTTTTTGACCCCAACCATAATGTGCAGGTGACTCCGAGGAAACGAAAGAAACAGCCCGGGTTCCAGAACTCTCCAGCCCAGAATCCGCCGTTCGTGCCCATGTACTTCCATGAGATGGCGTTCAGGCACCAGAAGATCACGCAATCACTCAGCTCGTTCGTGCACCATCCATTCGGGTCAACGCAACAACAACCACTGACCCTGACAAGGACCACGGACGACGGAGGCCGTGACACGCCACCGCCCAGGACGGCCATCTATATGGGCCGGTCCAGATCTCAGGACTCCGGCGTGTACAGGCCGCCACCACCACCACCTCCGCCACTGCAGCCACCACCGCCACCGCCGCCGGACAACGACTGCAGTCCGCCGCCACCCTCCGGGCAACCAACGCAGTCGTCATCGTTCGGCAGTTTTCCTGAGAATGGGTCACCCTGGAAACCATCGCCTGGTACGTATTTTCTTATGGCCATAGCTAGTATTATTTACCTATACGTATTAAGATATATATATATATATATATATAACAGAGGGACGTATAGGATTACAGCTACCTACGTTTATTTTTTATCAAATCATGAGAAGCCGAGGCGAGTTAACAAAGCGTGGTATAAGTGTATAACCATATTGTAATATAATGGTTACAATATTATTGATAATTTGACTCAGTTGGTCGCCATTTAGAGTTTGCGGATCCTCACTTGTATCGTACATAAATTTGAGCGAAATGAACCTCACTAGGGCACTAACTCTCTCATGTCTCATCCCCATGAGATATAGACAAAAGATATCATCTACAGTAGTTATAGAATACATTTCTTCAGATTTTACTGTACATTAGGCATTATAAAAACGTGACAGGTATATTTGACATCCCCACGACATTCGATTTTTTTTTCGTATGTGTATTCTGTTATATTCGGATTCGTGGTGCTTATAATATTGGTATGTGTAGATAAATCATTTTTTTGACTACACCAAATCTACATGACAACACACGGGTATCTATGGTGCTCAGTGTGTTTGTTTGGTTATCGACAGACCTGATAAGAGATTATAAGTAATATTATCGAGTTATCGTGTATTATATGTTTGTTTCATCGAAAAAATATTAACCGATCGATAAACGTTCTCGTATAGTACTAACGAGAGTGAAACATTAAATTATGTTATATTATATAGTATGCGTGTTAATGGCACGTTTAACTAACAATATCGTATATGCATATTATATATATATGTATAATGTATATTGTAGTTCCTCACCAAGTGGCATTCCGAAATTCAAAAACTTTGGCACCCGCCGAGAGGTTTCGCCACTGCGTAATTAAAACGGGAGTCGACACGAAGAAAGTTTTCAAACGTTTGTGTTGTTTCGTGTATAAAGCAGCCCTCCCCATCCCTGTCTATTATTACACAACTTTGGGACAGTAAAATATAATATTAATAATAATAATATGACCCCATTAATGCGCACGTAGAGTGCACGGTCCGATATTATATAATATGACTTGAACAATTATTTTATACAAGTTCTATAAGATGTGTAGTAAATATAATGATATTTCAATACAGATAGACAGAACGCTGGTTTGGTTTTTATCGTCTTCTCGGATATAGGTGAAATCATTTTTTTTTGGGGGGGGAGGGGGTGGATCTAGTGGGATAAGTCAATAAATCCAACAAAATGCGTTCAAACATAATATTCATTATGACCAAAAAATGTAAAACCCTATATTCTTCCATGTGTAGTCCTAAGGCCAAACTGTGACAATAATATAATGGTGTATCATATTCTTTTCGACCTAATAACACCCGAAGATATTTCGACATTTCATTCGGTTGCATTAATATTTTACTGAAAGGGGCGAACATTCGTCTGAAATATGTAATACGTGTGTATACAATTTAAAAGAAAGTTTAAAAATAGGTTATGTTCACTGTACCATATAGAACAGTACAAGTCGAGTGTAACTCGTCGTAGACTTTAGATATTGTAATATAAGTATTGATATTTCTGATTATCGTGTGACAAGATAAGACAAGATAAACATTAGGCAATCTAACCTAACCGGGTATCAAATCCCTTTAAAGCTGGTGTGGGACATACTCTTAAATTAAGAGTCTTAATGATCAGTCATGACTATCTCCATACACCACACGCGAGATCACACCCGTGATTAAATTCCTTGGAAAACAGGGATATTTAATCTTTAATTTTCAATTCTCTACACTCGTATATTTTATGACAAGTCGTTAAACTAAAAACAAAAAAAAAATCGTTACCTACCTACTTGTTTGTAATACAGCTGTCGCCTTAAAACTATTTGTAAGACTTCTAGATATCCAACCGTATTTGTTTAGCGTGACGACGCGGGTCTTGTATAACTGCGTATAAGTTAAACATTTTATTATCAATTCACGCCACGGACAACTGCGTCGAGAGTGATACGACTTAGTGACCGTTTATAACACTCTCCGCTTTGTTGTTCCAGTTTATGTCGCGGCCTATCCATACGCTATACCACAACGATGTAATATACATAATATATAATTATATGGCTATCGAATTGATAACAGTAATTTACAATCATATTTCGAGTCACACATAATATGGCCCACCTAGCTCGATAACAACAATATTCTTATTGTGCACGCATTAAGTGTGGACTCAATGCAATAATCATAGCAAACCCATAATATGATAATTAGGTATGATAATATTGTCTAGTGTCAACAATAATACTACGATTATACCTTATTATTATTCATAAACGTCCAAAATATCAAAGTGAAAAGTGACCATCACCTATCTATTTTAATAAATATATATTGATAATAAAATAATAATTATTACAAACAGATTATAATTTATAATATTGTATGGGTATTACAAAACTCTAAAATCGTAAAAGGACTGAAACATCATTTTATAATGATTTATAATATGACACGTTTTAATCAAGATTCATCAATTTAATGAAAAAAACATTACACTAGTATTTGAGTATTATATAGCGGAGTATTGAGTAGACAATAACGACTATATTTACTACTTTTTATGTGACAATAATTTATGTTTTTGATTTCGTAATTAGATTCAGAATTCCTTTCTCGAAAATGTTCGATGTAAATAAATATCGAATATTGAATGAAAATAATAGGCAATACAATGAATAAGCATTTAAAGTTAGTAAAAGGATGAACGAAAAGTAAAACAGTTAGAGGGGCAGGTACCCCGAAAAAGTTTAGGAAATGCATAACTGCTTCGCCAATCCAAACTTTACTGTTTTAAACGATGTTATCATTGATATATTAAAAACAAACTTAAATTAAAATATTAACCATTTTATAACCATCTCATTCGAATAGATATAGTCACTTTATGCAGCAACAAACTCTTACGGATTTTTGACAATGTCCATCGAGTCCAAATAGAGGATGTTAGAATATTTTTCCGAAAATGTTGAGTGATTTATCGTGTTGAACAGTCTTCACTTATTTTAATTTATTATAATATGACATAATAATAATAATTAACATACTGACTTGTGCGATTTTCGTTTTTCTCTCCATAGACGTGAAACCGATGGCGCTGCAGCTGTGCACGGCGTCTTCCGAATCAGCGGCGGAAGTGCAGCACCCGCACCAGCCACATCAGCACAGTTCGCCAGCGTCTCTGGGTGGGCCAGCTTCCACTGCATCGTCGTCGGACATAGATGACAAGTCGTTGGTTTGTGTGGGCGGCGCAGGCCGCGAGTACAAGTGCACGTACTGTGGCAAGCAGTTCGGCATGAGCTGGAACCTGAAAACGCACCTCCGCGTGCACACGGGTGAGAAGCCTTTCGCGTGTAGGCTGTGCGTGGCCATGTTCAAGCAGAAGGCTCACCTGCTCAAACACCTGTGCTCGGTGCACAGGAACGTCATATCGCCCGGCACCAGCGCCGCCGACCAGGAGACGGCGGCCGCTTTCAACTGCTGCTTCTGTCAGATGACGTTCGATACGCTCCAGCAGCTGGTCCGCCACTTTTCCGGGCCGCACAACAACCTGCTGCTCACTAAGAACCTGAATGCCTGACGCGCTGACCCAACGCCCTAACACTTTTCTCTTAGGGCGACCTTGTCCTGTCTCGCCGATTTTTCTGGTAGTAATGTTACATACTACCATGTAGTATGTAATACATTTTTTTTGCTGACAAGACGTGTACTTCTGTTATACAGAATTTTTTTTTTACCATTTTTATTATTATTATGTACAAAAAAAAACCGTTTTTTGTAATTTTTACCAACTGTTATCGTATTATTATTATTATTATTATTATCATAATTATCATTGTTACTGTTCTCGTCGTTGTTATTGTTAAACTTCAGCGCGTACAAATATTCGGCCGGAAAGCGATTTTCATCCGGTCCTGATCTGTTTTGGAGTGTAATGGTACCATTACCGATCCCCCGCACTATTATTGGCATCATTCATTTAGAAGCTCATTTTATACACTCCAACGTGTCTCGAAAACCTATTTTAAAATATAATATGACTTAATTCAGTGTTATATGTCATACTCCCTTCGTCAGCGGAGTCGGAATAAAAAACTTCAAAAAATTCATGACATCGTCCAAAAGTGTTCATCATATTATAATTTATTGCGAACGTTTTCTGATTGTATAATTATTATTGTATATACTTTCTACGTGTCGCCAATATTTATAAAGAGCTAAATTGCGAGCTCCGAATCACGTATATATTATTCATCTTGGGTACTTACGCATTCAAGTAGCAATGGAGTTCGAAAAAAATCAACAACAATGACAACAACGACGACGAAAACGATTTTGTTATGCTGATGTATGAAATTCGAGTGACTAAATACTAAATGTGTAGATACTTAATTTATAGGGAAAATTAAGATCTCTAGAAATGCATAATATGAACGGTGTATATACCTACATTTAAGTTAAAATAGAATAGGAAAAAAACTACGTCCTATGAATCGATCGTTACCTTTATGTTTAAAAATCAATAATTATTTAATAATAATGTAACATTTTAACAAAATTAAAATAATATAATACGACCTATATCGATTGCGCGCAAATGCGTGTACTGCGAATATTTGACGATTTTATGCGTTCAAATTGTTGTCAAATCTCAGCGATACACTCTGTATAACGTGTTCTCGGACCGTTCATTCGACTTTGCTCGGCCCGCGACCACTCGACGTCATTCACGTGATATCGACAAAATATGTTCACAACGTACTTCCAAACGGGCTTTCGAACTTTGCCGTGATTGAGATCATATTTTATAGGTCAGACACGATCTCGGTGCAGGTGTCGTCTGTGCCAAATCGAGTTAGATACTTATTTAAATTTAGGCGTTTGGCATAATAAATGCCAACAAAACTTGTACATATTAACGTGATGTAATGTATCGTCAATATACATAGATATTTTGTATAATATAATATTATGTTTTTATGAACGAAAAATATATGTACATAATTTGTAATAGTGTTACGGTAATAATAGTGAATAGTAATAATAATATCAATGTGCATTACACAATGTATAAATTAAAACGCGTATTAATATTATTATATAGTGACGCGTGATCGAAACTAGTCATAATTTATTCGCTAAGATGTGTACGAAATGTAAAAACAAAAAATATTGTGTGTAAATATGAATTACCAATAAACAACACCAACCGTGTTTGTAAATATAATGTTTAATGAATAAACGGTTTACTAAAACTTTTACTTTACTGATGTTGTTTTCAATATTATTCACTGTAAGCGTAAATATAACGAAGACGGTCATAATATTGGCAGCTCGGAACATCCAAATACGCGATATAATATTATAATGACGACGTGTTTGCAAAAGTTCGATGGTAGAAATTTTCAACATCGCGATGAACAATATTATTTCGAAACGTCTTCAAAGACATTTTCTGGCGCCGAAAGATCGATTCGACATCAGCATTTAATCAGTACCACTTTCGAAGCCTACGATATTATAACACACTTATAGATCTGCAATTCGCGATTCAAATTTCCGGTGACGACGAAGCTTAAATCAAAAATAATCATCAAATAACAGAAATGATTATGCTTAATAATTTGGCTGTTGTTCCGCCGTACTATATATAGTATAATATTATATTATAATGTAAGCACAGTTGTTTGAGTTATTATGATTCTAATATTATAATTTATTCAAGCTCCACCGCTGCCGGTTTTCCTCTGATCCTGATCTCATCTACGCTTTATGTCGATAGTATCGACGACTCGTAGAAAACAGATGTAAATACGACGAGTATTGTTCGTCGCCATAATAAGCATAACGTCATGTTAAATTCAGAATGTTTAAGTATAGTATAGTATGTAGTATGTACAAAGTGTAGTCGTAGTAAGTAAGTAAAGTCGTTATTTTGATAGCGATTATATTATTATGACAACGACTGTAAATAAGTACGACATGATAAAATGAGCTGACGGGCGCCGAGTGTACGACTTTTTCTTCTGTATCTTTATCATAATACTCTGCAAACTATAGTAATAGTGTACCCACCAAAATTAAGAAACCGTTTGCGCCGCTGCGATGGTCTTCAAATAAACTCGCCATTAATTATATTTGTTTTGAAATTTCGATATCGGCGTTGATGTTTTTCAATATTTATTACAATATCGTCATCAAGTCGGACGAATTCGTCTCTAGAATAATGATCAATTGTCCTCACAAAAACGTTATAACTATACGCGTATTATACAGCTGTCACTACCACAATAAATTACTCACAATGTTCACTGTCACAACATAGATGACAAAAGTATTCAAATATTATCTAAACTTGACCAACGAATAATACTGAAATTTTGTCTGTTGAGTTGTTAAATAAATAATAATATGAGTATGATATTGTGTTATTTTACACTTCCTCTGAGTTGATTCAAATGTTTCTTTCATTCATAATTCATAAGCTAGTCATAAGCTGTCAATAATCTGAATAATTGTATAATATTCACCCTCTCCGAAACCATCCGTTTGTAATAATGCATTGAATGAATCAACTTATAATGCTTAAATATTATACAATGGCACGATACGCTACAATACATTTATACTGCACACGCTGCAAAAAACATTCAATATTTCGAGTGTGAACTCCCAATATAGGAGTTGTAGGTTATACAAAAACTGCGAGTATTTCACCATGTTCAAATAATAAAACCATGTATAGGTTTCGTGTGAAATATTCCTTTTTTTTGTGCACTGTGGTTTTCAGACAAATTTCATTTGTTGGTGATTGGTGATAGAATATCTCCATACAAAATTATAAATTTATTTACTATACTTAAGCTTTAATACATTTAAATAAGTTAATTAATAATTTATATTACTCGTATATTATTATGTGTTGAACTTCTTGTCCTAATGAACTACGAAATACGCTCGAAAAATATGCTCACAAAAATCTTTAAAAATCTTCTAAAAATGTTAAATTATAGCAAAAATGATATTATATTTTTGAGAAAAAACTTTAGCACATTTTGTATTTACTTTCACATGGCACGTTGTATGATTGTTATCCACATTTTTAATGCCCGTTGATGTCGCAATTCAATGTGGTAAATCAGTCAAACAAAATTTTAACCGATGACTAGGTACCTATCGTTGCAACAAATATTAGTAGAAATTAATTCATCAAAAATATATAATGCATAAATACAATATTTTGGTTATAATTTATATAAAAGAAAGATTTATTGTGAAAACTAAAACACATAATGTTTGGAACAAATCTGAAAAGTGCATTTAATAGACGAAATATGATCTTAAATTGGTAAAATGAGCACACAAATTTTAAAAAATGTCAAAAGAAACATAAATAATGCATTAAATAAAAATGTTCGTATTTTAATTCACAGCACTATGAAACGTATGTTCTGCTTACTTAGCATTTAATATGATCAGCCATAAAAAATATGCAAATGCATACGAATTCGCATAATGAATAATGCCTTTTCCAACACATTCCAAACAATATGTACACATTTATAATGAATACGAAGTAAAACGCGAAGGTGAGTTGAAATAGAAATTCATTAAAAGTCAAATATAATTCGCGGGCATTACACCAAATTATACATGTTTTAGGTCACATACTTTACCGGTACCATAGTATTTGTATTTACTGATATTTAATATAATATATATTGTAATTTATCGCATTAGAACAAGTCCACATTAAATAATTTGTGATGTCCATGAAAATTTAAATATAAATACGCTTCATGCGTAAAAAGAGTATTCAAATCTACGATATAATATTATGGCGTAGAGTCGTATATTACTCTTATAAGTAATAATATTAAACGGTTATGAAATATAGCAAATGACGAATATTAATTAAAGTGCGACTTGATTGAACTAATAATAACATTTTGTATGAGTATATTTTTTGAGTTCTATCAGTGAGCATAATGATGTCCACTTGTAGTGTTGGGTAAATAATAATACATTCTTATAACGTTTAATGCTGAGGTCGTGGGTCGTCGTCTTTTAGTTGAATACACGGTAAAAACAAGCAAGGACTCAAATGACAAACAACCGAAAATCGATGCTTTGCACTTATTATAATATGAAACGACCACTCCATCTAAACGCGAATTATTTCAAGTGTGTGCACACAATATTGTATAAAATGTACATTGACATAATTATTTTCAAAGAGCTCTATTGTATTATGGTGCGTGGCGTAACTTTTCTCAAAATTATTCCAACTCAGATATAGAACGAGTACGTAAATAAACAACGAATGACCGATTTTTTTAAAATTATAACTGTCGCTCTTAGGTCCGTGTGATGTGCACTTTACTCTTTATAATTAAATAAAAAAGTTTGTGTTGGTTAAAATATTTTTAAATATTGATGAATACGTAGATATTAAAAATAAGAATACTAAGAAGCACATCGTTTTATACAAGTATAAGCTATTAGAAAAACCTAGTGGGAATAAAATTGTCTGCTGATTACCGCAATCATTCAAATATCCGAAAATTCAAAAAATTTTAAATAATATTATACAATCTACTATCTATATCCGTATAAATGATACGCTTCCATATTAATTAATCCATATTAAAACTGTATTATAGGTATTCAAGTTAACTTTAATTGTATAATATCCAAACGAAATAAATAAATGCTGAAGATTATGTAAAGGAAATGCTATGTTGTAAGTTTTAAATTAACTCAAATGTTAATGAAATTCAAGATTTGCATGATAAATGTTGAAAACTTGTTTAAGGGTTTACCCACCCTTATATAATTAGAAAAGATTTCAAATTTAATTTTAGTAAATCCACTTGAAAATATTTAGCACCCGTATTTAGTATAATATTTTTAAACGGTTATTAATATTATATTATCTACTTTAAAAATGTGCATTATAAACTTTATAATTTAAATATATTATACCAAGAATGATTTATGAGTGATTAATAATAAATAAGTATTCAATGAATACATCCTAATTACAAAACGAAATAAAAATAATTACTTTTATTAAAAATTGAATGAAACATTTGAATTTTAAGTGTATTTGGAATGAAAATGGATAAGTAATAATTTGAGCTGCATAATATGTTTCACCCAACATGTTATAAGATGTAGCGTCACATAAGACGTATCAAATACCAAGGAACAGATAAGTCTGATAAAGAACTATACCCTAAACGATAATTATGAACCATACTAAATATAGCCTACCCACTTAGGAACAAAGAAATAGAAATATTATCTTTAATTACCAAAATGAAATACAAATATTATGGTTAGCCTGGTTTTAAAATTCTATCCAAAATAAAGTTACACACATCGAATGGATAACGTTAAACCTCTAAACCAAAAATATTGATAACTTATAACTAGGTAATATTATAATGATGCAAATCTTGGTATGAATCTGGTAAGAATTAACTATTCCATATGAAAGGTCCATAAAAAGAAAATCTGCACCTTCTAATTACCCAGTCTGTCTTGTCAAGTGTATATAGCCATACATAGTTTATACATAATTGTAGCTAAAATAAGAATTTTCTTTACAAAAGTCAAAAGTCAGTTTTTCATTGATTTTTAGTGTTTTTCCATAACACTTTTTATACATTCCAAATTATTATGTATATTTTGTAATATAGGTAATGAAGAAAACTAAAAATATAGTAATAAATTCCAATATTTTAAGTGAAAACATTAGAATAATCAAACAGTGACACTATCGAATTTTCTCCGTAAACATATTAAATACATGATTCATGTGACTCTGAAGTCACATGAAAATGAAACCCCGATTAAAATAATACATATTTTCAAAATCATTTTTTTTTAATAAATAACTAAACTATCCATATTTTAAAGTACCTATTGTCAACATCGGACTTTTTCATCACAATGCTTGGGAACCACTGTTGTGCATATACATACGTATTTTACATCTGTGATTAGCTATAAGGGTGCTGAATATCCCAAAAACTAAAAAGGTACTCTCCTCGGCGCAGGTATGTACCTATATTGCCTACACATTGCGCCGTGTAACACAATGTGTATTCGAAAAATAATCATAGAATCATACTAATTTTAATTAAAAACTGCATAGTGTCACATAATTTACTTTCTCGATTAAATTTAATTCTATGATATTACTCCTTATAAAAATAACTTACTTACAACTTATTTTTAAACATATTTAAATATTTGTAT